TCTGACGAGGGCACAGGCTCCTGGCTGGAGGAGACCTCACTCGCCTTGGGAGGAGCTTCGTCGGCCTGGGTGGCCGCCTCAGGTCTAGAAAGCTTGAAGCCAGCCTGTCTGCAGACTCTGCGCTCAACGTGTTGCTGTAGATTATGCCAGTTTTTAAATTTCGCCTGGCAATTTGAGCATTGAGGCAGGCCTCCCACGGAGTGCTTTAGGCGTGAGAATTCAAGGGGTGGCAGAACAGGAGCCGGGTGCTTGACTGTCCGGTGTGTTCTCATGCCCGCCGCAGTGCGAAATACCTTGCCACAACAGGTATGCATGGGTACGTCCGGAGAGGGGTCATTGTCGACCTCCATGAGCAGCTTGCTGTAAGAGGTTACAATCTCCTCCGCCGTTTGCAGGGTGGAGGGAATGGTTAGGATATCCTCACTTGGCCAGGCGCCGGACTGGGTAAGGAGCAAAGAACTCGTGTTGGCCGGCGTGGACGTTGAGCAGGAGGTGACCTCACTCGCTGGTGCTGCATTCCGGCGCTTGCGAAGGGAGTCTAGGCGCTGGGCGGAGCGATCATGAAGCTGCTGAATGGGAGAGACGAGTTTAAGACGTGCAAAGAGCGCTGCTGTAGTTTCACGAGTCTTATGCACTGGGTTGTGTGTTACAGCTCGCACCTGTCTGGCATGCCATGAGCGGAGTGCCCGTGCCCGCCTGCCTGAGAGACCAACGGATTCCAGTCCAAAAGTGGCCGTAGACCAGACGGTGGCTCTCCAGACAAGCAGCCTAGATGCGGTTTTTGTCCTGCGCTTATTGTGGATGAATTTGCGCACTGTCTGCTTTTTCTTCGCCGCTCTCTCTTGTCTTAAGGAATAAGTAAGATCTTCCGGGTTTGAGTAGCTGACCATAACCCCTAGATACTTGAAGGAGTCTACCAGCTCGAAGGAAGGAAGGGAAGGGAGAGGGGGAAGAACGGAGGAATTCGAAAGCAGAATTGGCCGTCTTGGTTGCTCTGGGGCGTCTATGTTCCAGACCGTAACCTTCCGGCCTGAGCGGAGCTCCTGTGACTTGAAGAGCTTCTTGGCCTGCTGTGCGTGGCGACCTGCCAGTTTGACCATGATGTTGCACTTGGCATAATTTACTTCTAGTCCGGCTTCTTGCAGGTAATGCAGTAGCAATCTGACCATGTCATGAGCCGCGTAGAGATCGGACCAGTTATGGATGTCTCGGTGAATGACGAGGTCATCCGCAAAGCCTGTGAGGAACTGCTGTATGGGAGGGAACCCTATGTGGGTGGCCATAAGCCGGAACGCCTCCGTGATGACCAGGGAGAAGAGAGAGGGGGCCAGTTTGCAGCCTTGCTTTATACCTCTTGTTGAGGTTACTGTGTCCTGGCTTCTTCCATAGCGCAAGTTATACTGGGCCTCCCTATGAAGGGATGCTACCAGCTCAACGTCTTCGGGTGAGGCCCCGTAAGTAATTAGTGAGCGCAAGAGAGCCTCTCTGCTTGTTTTGTCAAAAGCTTGAGAGAGGTCTAGTGAGAAGGTAAAGCCCCCGATTAGATCCGGCTTGCCCTTCTTGCGCTTGGGAGCGCAGAACCTGTCTGGTGCTCGGGATCGAAGCATGGCTCGGACGCGCCTTGCGTGGCCAATTACCCGGAGTTGGGCGTCGGCGATACCGCGTCCTGGAATGTAGGCAAATTGAGGGGAGGCAAAGTGGGCCTTCTTAAAGAGGGGGTCGAGCCTTCTCCTAGCCTCAGAGGCTATGCCTTTGCCATCTGGCCTAATGATGCCTAGCGGTCGCAAGTTCTCCGGCTTAGAGGCAGGTTTAGAGGGCTTGGGTATGAAGCTAAGGTCTGCTGATTTGGCTGTAGTAGGCAGCGAGGGTGGCTCGGCTGGATTCAGCGGTGCTGTGTGATGCTGAGGCTCGCTCTTCCCTTGGCAGGAGGTGACCTCGCACGCCGGATGGGTCAGAGCGGGAGACGAAGGCACCGCTTCAAGATAGTCGCAGTAATTATCGGCCACTGTTGAAGCACAAAGGCGGTACATGGATGCTGGGGCAGATCCTTGCGGTACTGCCTTTTCCGGCTTTATAGAGGCTATGCCTTTTGTCAGACTGCTTTT